TGTCGGATTTAATTAATTTGCAAACATAAATTAATTACTATTTATTTATATAAATGATTTTTAATCATCACTCCAACTGAATATTAATTAATTATTAATTACCGCAAATAATCAACATTGAAACAATATAAGTATGTATGTATGTATACATGACGCGTACTACCGTTGTAATTCAATTATCGCTCGAAAGTGTTAGCATGTAAATAGTGTATAATTATTTATTTAATTATATTATTTATACTTTATATATTATATATATATGTATATTTGTATGCATACATTCAAATGTAAATGTATTTTTATATGCGTATAAATAACTATCAAGCGATAACAATAAAAGCACTTTGGATTTTCGAGATGTTCTCGAATGAAAACAGCGACCGATGAACCTAATGCATGCATATATATATAAATATATACATATATATATATAAGTAGGTATAAATGAATATATTTGTTTACAAAAACGAATGAAACAATGTGGAAAGTTCTCCATAAACCTTAATGAATGGAAATCTAAATAAAAAAAAAATTAAATAAAATAAAATAAATGAAAATAAAAAAATGTATATATATAACATAAACTAAAATGGGAAGGTAAAAAATATGGAATAAAAAATAAAATAGAATAAATTAGTGTAAACTAAAATAGAATAAAACAAAATAAAAAACAAAATAAAGTGAAATAAAATAACATAAATTAAAACTAATTTTAATTATGCTAACTAAATTAAAAAAAAAAATAAACTAAAAAAAGATAAGAACTAAGAATAAAGAATAAAAAAAATATTGCAAACAAAAATGAAATAAAATAAAAAAGAATTGTTTAACATATATATTAAAGTAAAATAAAATAACATAAATTAAAATTAATATTAACTAAATTAATTATAATAAATTAAAAAATGAACTAAAAAACATAAGATATAAAGAATAAACAATAAAAATAATTTTTTATATTAAAGTAAAATAATATAAAATGGAATAAAAAGATAAAATTATAAAAATTAAAATAATATAAGAAAAATAAAATAAAATAAAATAAAAAATAAATTATATTAAGTCAAAGTAAATTAAATAATATAAAAAAATAATATAAAATATAATAAAAAGTATAAAACAAAATAAAATACAATGAAATACAGTAAAATAAAATTAATTAAAAAATAAAATAATGTTAAGTAATATGAAATAAAATTAAAATATAAAACAAATTCATTAAAATAAATTAAATAAAACAAAATAAATTAAATTTAAAAGTATTAGGAGTTGATCAAGCAACCGTTTCTAGACGATTAAATTAATTTCTTCACAATAAAGTCTTTATTTTCGAAAAAAAACCGGCATGAATTAACGCATACGCCCAATAACTAAAAATAATTAAACAAAATCAAAAAAAAAAAAAATATAATAAATTAAACAAAATAAGGTAAAAAGTAATAAAATACTTACGTAAAAAAAGGAAAATCAAGCAAAGTAATTAAATTAACTTAAATCACATATGTAGATTTAGAAAGTAATTAAAAAACTGGAAAAATAATTCAAATAAAATAAAAATAAATAAATTTAATGTAAAGAAAATGGAATAAAAAACTATTAAATTTAAAAATTATAATCTAAAATAACAAAAATTGCACCAAAAAAAGTAAAATAAAATAAGTTAAACTAAATAATATCAATTAAATCAAATAAATAATAATATTAAGGCAAATATAAAACAAATTAAAATAAAATTTAACATAATTAAACAATTAATTTAAAATAAAATAAAGGGAAACATAATAAAAAGAAATAAAATAAATAATAAGAAGATAATTATTGGCGCTTTGGAGCCGCTGCAGCTATTTTCGGCCGAGGTTCTCCACCAATTTGTGGTTTTCCTCTTAAGTCTTAATGTTTTTTGCAATAAATAAAGGAGCTTGCAATTTATTATAGAGTAGAAACCCATTATTTAAAAAAAAAAACAAGTCAAATAAAAATTTAATTAATTAAGTAGAATAAAAATAAAGTAAAGTTAAATAAATTGAAAATGGGAAAAAAACTTTAATGCAAATAAAAAATGGAAAATTAAGCCAAAAAAAAATTAATTAAAAAGTATTATAATATTAATAATATAAAAAGATAAAGTCAAATAAAAAAATGTATACAATAAATAAAAATCGAAAAGACATGTAATGAAGTAATAATAAATAAAAAGCTCTAAATGCAATAAAACAAAAATAAAGTTGAAATGGGTTCAAGCAAAAAAGCAATAAACTTAAATTTATTAAAGTAAAAGTCATTGAAAAAGTAAATAACAAAATTAAAAGCATAAAATAAAATTTGTGCAAAATTAAACATAAATAATTTAAATTATATTAAGTAAAAAATTTGAAGAAAAGTGTATAAAAGAAAAAAAAATAATAAAATAGAAACTATTGAAATTAGTCAATTACAAAAGACAACAAAGCGGACTAGTATGAAAAAAAGATAAATTTATGAATTGCAAAGAATACCTGAGTAAAATAATTAAACAAAATTGAGCTTAACACGAAAAAAAAATTGTTTCGTTTCACCTTCTTCCGCTGATTTGTCCATACCCCACTGACTGATCTAAAAGTATGAATAAGTGCGGTGCCTTGCATTTTGTTTATTAGATAACACATTATCTGTCACAACAAAAAATTAAGCCAAAACGAAATGAAGTAAAAATTTTCTTCCTCACATTTCTAAATGCACACACACACACAGCTGCAAATATTTATGAATATCGAAAAGCCTTCGGAAGCGCTAAAAAATATACATATCTGCATATATGTACATACATATGTATATTGGATGTGATTAATACGTAAGTATGTATGTATGTAACTGTATATATGTATGTACATTGTGAATATTAAAAATGAATTTCCACGCAAAAACAATGTGTTTTGTCTTCGCAAAGATGATTATTTGGTAATACGCGCATTTCCATGGGTGTGTCAAAGCTGATTTTCTAATTATAGAAAGCAAATGCATATGCACAGCAACAAAATGCTCGCATTCATAAGCATAGTTGCATACATACATACATACATACATACATACATACATACAAAAATGCTTGTTTCTCTGTATCGTATACAAAAATAAGAATTAAAATTAATATTTGCATAATCAACAACAATAACAAAATATCTACTACAACAATATATGTACATACATACATATGAATATAATAAATACATATGTACGCATGGCGGGTGTCAACAATGAATGGCAATCATGATGGTGATAATGATGATGACTTAATACGAACAAACTTAACTGCTTGGAATATTCAATTTAATGCCAATTTTTGTTATTTTATATTTTTTTTTTAGCTTTCGAGTGTTGTTAGGAAATTAGATTTGAGTTCTTGCATACATACATGTATATGAAATGTGCAAACGTTTCAGCATATATATATATATATATATATACATACATATATGCACAAAAAATTACCTTCAAAGCAAGCAAAAAATTTGCTCTTATCTATCAATGGGTTTTGACGCTCACTGATACATACATACATACATACTTACACAAATAAATAATAATTTTATGAAAATAACTGAAATAAAGCTTACAATTAATTTATATGCCAATGCCGTACAAACGGCAAGCTACCGTCATGCAACCCAATGCGCAAGCCAAACATGGCAATCATTATAATATTGTAGTTAAGTGACAATACAGTGAAATGCGCAAACGCCCTATTCCAAAAAGTCGAGAACAGCTGCGTTTGAACAAAAAAAAAGAAAAGGGTGCCAGTGATTGAGTTCCTGGAATTCGCATGAGAATTTATAACTTCACACGTATGCCATATTAAAAAGTAAATAAAAAATGTGTTATATGTAAATAGGGATATACTCGCATATATGAATACATAAAAGTATATGTATCACAAATATTTCAGGCGCGGAAAGTTTATTCCTAGTAATATTTATGTATAAGACTTTGTGCGTTTGAATTTAACATAAATTTTTTTCTGCTTGCAAGCAATTGCCAAGTGAAGTAATTTGTGGACATACATATAGTAAATGCCCCATCCCATATTATATACTAAAAATTCGAAAATTCTTCCTAAATTTACTTTTAAATCAACAAATAGTTAGCGCATACTTGCCGTATTCCAACAAAAGTGATGAGAAAATTAAAAAAAAATAAAAAAAATATTAGTTTGTATGAAAAAGGAATTTACTTATGGTCAATTCCAGCGAATGAAAAATATTTGTATGCCTAACAACTGATACATACCTACGCACATTTGTACATAAACGAACGTACTTCAAAATAGGCTCAGCCTGTCTTAAGAAACTTTTAAAATCAGCAGATTATTAATTTTTTTTCACATAAAACAAATGAGGCGAAGGCATATTGCGTCGCCATGTGGGGTGCAACGCCTCACAGCAAGGCCTGCCTCTTTTCGAGAAACGTATCTGCCTGATAAGAGCTGATAGATTTACAGTGTTTAAAAAGAAAAAAAACTTAAATATTTCTATATAAGAAAGCACATTAGGGCGGTTCTTACTACTTACGCTACTAGCACTTGAAGCTAAAATCTCTTAGTATATTTATTTTGTAATTTAATTATAGGTGAAGGAAATTAATTCAAAGAGAGTGTTCGTAAACATTTGATTTTTTCTTTTTACGATACATTAGTGAAATCTATAGTTTCTTAACTTCGCCGCCAATAATTTGCTAAACACCCTAATAACAATAAATTTGTACATATTTGTAGGCCGCGTTCATATGTACTGATATGTAGGTATACAACGTTTCTCTGTAAACAAATTAATGGGCTTTAATGTGTTAATAATAAATTTATTAATAAATATTGACGTATGTATTATGTTATCAATATTTTTCTTCGAACGAAAAATAACAGAAACCTACAAATGCATTACACACCTATCTTTGACTAAATAATACAAAAATAATCACATATATACACATATATTTTAAGTATTTATTTAATTAACTTTAATTTTAAAATTTCTATTAAAATTCATATATGTACATTGATGGACTGAGATGGAAAATAACTTTGGAAAATTTTCAGAAAAATTGATTTTATAGTAAAAATTGAGTGGACATTGAATATTAAAAACATAAACTTTTGCTATAAATTTTTGACAATCTGAAACTGAGGTAGTTTACAAAAAACATTGAGTATAATTTTCTATATATACGTAAGCAACAGAAATTTCACTACTAATATTAAGACTATCAACTGTTTTCTTATGTATGTACACACAGATTTTTATCAAATTCCAGTTAACTATTAAAATAAACACTTTTAATTTTAAGATGTATGATATAAACATAATTAGATGTGGAAAATTTTGCTAAACAAGCTATTATATCAGTGGTCACTAAATTCTATTTGTTTCAAGGTAATCGTTATCTTCCTCCTCCACCACACTGTAAGCCGATTTCCCACTATTTTTGCCAGCTGGCTTCTCCAGATGTGTTTCGAAGAATTCATCTACGGTATCTGTATTCCATTTGGTAATTGATAATGTTTCTTGTACATTACCGCTAGAGTCTAATAACTTGACTACGGGATCGAGACCACGCATGTATTTAATTTGCAAATTTGAATATTTCGCCGGTCGACCACTCTTAATAAAAGCCTCAATTTGTGGATATGCACGGAATTTACAAGTACATACTTCAAGTATGGCTTTTGGCCAGCGACGTTGTACGGCCGGTTGTTTGTCAGGCGTACAGCATTCTTTGCAATGTGTCCTATATAAAGATTTAAAGCTACTCATTTAATTTTTACTTAATATTTTGGTTACAGTGCCACTTACTTAATCGCCTCTAAACCGAAGTCATCTAATTTTTCACAAGATGAACACATTAGTTGTGCCTTGATGAAGCCGAGCTCACGACAATCCTGCGTTGTGAATTCAGCGTAAGTAGTGCACTGTAAGAGCGCTTATTATTATTATAACAAATTTTTGTTTTAATATTACATATATGTATACTTACAGCACATAAAGCTATTAATAATAAAAAATATTTTAACATATTTGTATCTTTTAATAATAAATGGACCACAAACATAAAAGACACGTAAAATTTACAAATTGCTATGACAACATAAACATTCACGATTAAACACAGCGAGTTTTTGACAGTTGCAGCACAGGGTGTTGGGTATACATAAATTTTGTTAATGAAGATTTAGTTTGAGTTAATTGAAGCTATAGTTGATATTAAAATTCATATTTAATAAAAATCAGCAATAATATTTAAAGCACACACTTTAAAGACCAATATTATGTATTTTCTATTCAATTTTATCCTTCGAAACGGAGATTTTTCTGCGAAATATTGTTAAAACAGGTACCTAAGTACACAAACGGCACGTCGGTAATGCGGTTTAAAATTAATGTCCTTCCGACTAAACGCTTACGCGACAATAGTGAGTTGTTCGGTTCCGTTATAAATTAATGAAAAATACGTTTCGGTGTCTCAATTACTAAGTAAATTTAAAACGAGTAATACTGCACATCGTTAGTGAAAAAATAAATTTTGTGAAACTCCAAAAAACGACAGAAAGCCGATTACGCTAACATAGAACATGGATTGCAGTAGAAGTAAGAATTTTAAGTGCTCTGGTGCAATTTGCAACTTGCAAATGGCGACCGGAAAATCTAGGAAACGTAAATGCGAAATTTATCCTCATCCGGCAATTTGACTACTACAAAAAAGAGTCGCTATAAATTACTTTCAATAACTAAGTGGAAAAATGTTAGTGAAACGAAATACATATAATTTTTAAAAGAGCTGTGCCGTCGAATGTGTTTTCTTCAAACTAATATCATTTCTACAACAATATTCATGCATGCATGGGTACATATGTAGATATGTGTGCACGAGATCTATAACAGTAAATTGTAGCCAAGCGAGTGAAGCGGAAGTGAAATTAAACTAATTTGTCGTGAGTGCAATTGATTAACACCTTTACTTAAGTTCGTGTAGAAAATAAAAATGAATTTTATTACTAAATTGATAAATAAGTGTTTAAATAACAAAAAAGTATATTTTATGCAGAAAATAAAGACGGTTTTACATCAAATTCAAACTAGCGGTTATGCGAGCAGTATTGACATTTACGGTTTATGCCTGAAACAAAAAAGGTAGATAATATTTTTTTATTTACTTCATAGTTATGAATATTTTTTGAGGTATATTTATATATATAATTTGAAAATGTCATGTTACCTTGAGAACAACTCAGCAACAGGTATAGGATGTTTAATCTGAACTGTTTCTTCATTAGCAGGTGTTTCGTATTCAATAATCTGAGTAGGCTTAATGGTGGCTAATTCCTCGACGAGAGGTTTGTCATTAAGATCATCAATGGGATTAGTATTGCTCACAAGTGGTGAGCCAAGAGCACTGTTATGCACTTGACCAGGCTCACCTGCCAATGTTGGTGCTCCTAAATGTACCTCCGCATTATCTGCATGAATTGCTACTTGTGGCACTTGCAGGTGTGGCTGAGATTGTTGCTGTTCTGGTAGTTGCGGAGGGATTGTTGGATGTATAAGTTGATGATTTTGTGCAGCTAGTACCGGTGTCTTTTCCTTTGAATTTTCACTACTTTCATCACTCTCGTCACTCTCACTTGATTTGGTTTTGTCGTTTTTGTTGTGATAGTCTTCTTCCACATGTTGTGGTTGTTCTGCTGGTTTTTCATCACTTTTCGGTGACTCCTCTGGGTGGTGGTATTTTGGAACTAAAGGCACAGGTATATCACGTTTAACTGTCGTTGCTGGGGCTACATGTGTATGTTCTTCCGATTTATGTGCCGCGGATTCTGCACTATTGGTGGTACCACTTGCGCTTTCTTGAGAATGCACTTCGCTTTGGACTTCTTCATCGTGTGGTTTTTCCTCTTCTTCGTGATAAATCAATGGTGAAATTGCAACTGTAGAAGCGCCAATTAGGTGTGGATCTACCTGGCGACGTTGACGGGAGCGAGGCAAATCGCGCGCTGGTGCTGGCACCGGTACACTTGATTTCTTGGCTTGCGCCGCTGATGGGGTGTTCCGGCTACGTGATTGCTTGCGGCTGTCCTTCTTTGCTGCAGGCTTTTGTGATGTTACTGGTGCTTTCACGGATTTCGGCGTATCTTTGCCTTGTGTTCTTTCCCGTTTCTGACGATGATGAATGGAATCACCAACCGCGCTGTGCTCACTAGATTCCTGTGACTCGTTTTCCACAATTTGTTTAGCAGGATGTGCAGTAGGTGCAAAACGTGAGATGTGTTCATAAGGATCATTCTCAATTTCACGTTTGTATTTCACAATCTCTTTGGGATCAATGATCTTAGTAATTTTCTCCTCCGGTTTAGGGTCACTTGGCACATCCGGATTGATGGGACTGGGTCGATCAAGCAGTATATCATGATCTTTGCCTTCGATGGAGGATTGTGGTGATGTTGGCGCTGCAACACAGCACACCACTAAACTGGCTAATATGATCTATGCAAGAAAAATGTTAGCACTTATAATAGTAAAACAATTTTGTACGGAAAATCTTAGCACTCACAAATTTTCTCATCGTTTTACAACCGCAACTTGGCTCTTTCAAATATCAACGGACACTGTTTTTGTAACTAATGGTTTTGCGATTTTTATACTTAAATATGAAGTTAATATGCAAAACTGAAAATGAGGAAAATAAATAAAATCAGAGAGAAGTGAGAAAAAATATTAACGGTGTGTGCTGTCACTGTGTGTTTACAGGAATTGTTAACCTTTCGATAATTTGTGCTAATTGAAACGAATTTGAAGCTCAATGTGGTTTGTCGAGAGTATTTCTGTGTGGAAAGCGCTGATAATATGAGTATTTCTTTAAGTGTTAATACATTGATTGGTGTCTCAAAATACAATTGGCCATTTTATTTTGACCCAATTATTTAGATGCATACATTCATACATACATACACCATACATTTGTACCTATCGATGTACAAAAGCCTTTTTAGCTTACTTTTCCATTTTATAAAAAACGATACAGAAGTGAAAAATTAGCGAGATGCTCAATTTCTTTGCAAACAGAGATCTGATTTGTTTATTTACAAAATTTGCTTCATATAACTTATTATGTAATGAATCACCACTTAGTATTGGGTCGCTAAATACAATCTCAAGTTGTGAGATTTTTACGGATTAAATATTGTATTTAGCATTAGGTTAGGTTGAATGGCTTTAAGAAAAATATCATTAATCTCGACTCTCGACTCGAATAACATGACTCTAGACTTAGGCTATCTTTGTAAACCTGTTCCCTTCAGTTTTGATGCAAATTTAAAATCGTAAGCTTATTTGGAAGAGGCACCCTGGGATATTATCAAGAATCAGGCACCCTAATGTTTACAAATATTTAATTTGTAATTTGCCATTTTTAACAGATAGATAAAAATTACCAAAATATACATACCTACATACATACATATACATATGTACATACCATAACTGTTGAGAATTGTGAAAATCATACACAAATAACATACATATATTTGAGTTTTAATAATAGAAAATGCAAATAGTATTTTAATAATAAATCCATTGATCTTTAATATATTACTATTTTTCCACTAATAAACAAAAATACAAATACACATACATATGCAAACATTTGAAAGCTACAAATAGTCAAATAGTATACATACATTTTTCATAAATATTCTTTCAGCCCTTCAATAATTGCACTTAATTGTAAAATAAATTATAACTTTAAGCCTTAACCCCGCTGACAAAATAAAATCACAACTAGCTCTCCTGTACTTCTAGTGCCTCCTCACTATAACTTATTTGCCCGCCATCGAAGTGTAGATGAGTTTGAAAAATCGGCACTGGTTGAAATTCACCATCTTTTAAATTACTTGGTGGCGATTGCTCGGTCGTTTCCGAGGAAATCCCTGTTGACATGGCCTTGGCGAGAAGTGGTTTAATAAGCAAACCTTTTAAACTGTAATCTGTTACATTGAGCTCTTGCTCGGCGATATCTAATGATTTTTCAACTTCATTTACATTTGTGTTTACATTTTCTACGAACTGTTCCAACTTGTCAATGCGTTCACGGAGATTCTGAAAGTGATCACTAAATGCTAGTATACCACCAACATGATTCTGCAAAATGGTATTGTTTTCAGCACGCGCCTGTAGGGGAATATATTTAGCTTATTTACTTTTAAAAAGTAAAAATTACTTACACTCGATAACAATGTGTCTAGTTCGTCCAGGCGTGCCAACATGTCCTCAATGTTCATACAAATCGGATGAATCTGTGTATATAAAAGTATTTCGAAAAATTCTTTCAATTTTAGTATACACTCACCTCACGCTCGAGATTTATGCTTTGCAGAATTTTTGCATAGTCCTCCGCTGCCTGCTCAACCATACTTGATTTCCTTTTTCTTTGTCAACAAATATTTCTGCCTTATCAGCAAGAAGTCAAAGTAATTGACAAACAGCTGTTTGCCGCTTAGCTGTGTTCCGTAGGCTTAAGCATGCCTCGAGATATTTGTACCGCGAAACACATCTGGCTGGGATTGTTTTGCGTTTGACATTAAATATATCATCGATTTGATTTGAGTGCTGTGCATATTTACGCGAAAAAAATTATTTCGTCTGATTTTTCTTGTGGTAAACGAATTTAAGGAATAAAAGTGCGGCGTAGAATATGAGTAATTACCGTGGTATCGGCGGTGGTGGCTTTCCGTACAAAGTCAACCAAAATCGCAGTGCAGGCGCTTCCATGAATGCTGTGCCTCCACCTTCATCGTTGAACAATCGTGGGCCTCAAAGGGGTGGTATCGGCGCACGCAGCGTTGCTGCATCCCAGGGTGTTACTAAGCATGGCTATACATCACTAGACTCAATTAGTCAATTTACAGCCTCTCAAAATCTCATCGGTAAACGGAAATCACATACCGAAGATGATTACTTTGATGATGATGATGACCATACACCAGAACAAGCATATATACCTGCGCCCGGTTCGCCTGGTTTACGGAAAAACAAAGCAGATAGTGAATCTGATGAAGATCCACTTGATCAATTTATGGCTGGCATTGAACAACAGGTGCAAAAAGAAAAAGTGCGTAAAGAGCGTGCTGTCGTATCGCCGGTTGAAGAAATAGCTAGTGCCAAACATGCCAAAGGGGTGCGTGGTGATATAGACGACGAAGATGATGAAGAAAGCTATTATCGTTATATGGAAGAAAATCCCAATGCAGGCCTACGCGATGATGGCTCCGATGTCGAAATTGAATACGATGAAGATGGTAATCCAATAGCGCCACCAAAGAAAAAAGATATAGATCCTCTTCCACCAATATACCACTCCGAAATTGAATATGAGCCATTTGAGAAAAACTTTTACACGCCACATGAAGAAATTGCCAATCTGACGGACGAACAAGTACGTGAATTACGCAAAACTTTGGGCGTAAAAGTCACCGGACCAGAACCACCGAAGCCAGTATCATCATTTGCGCATTTTGGCTTCGATGAGAGTCTAATGAAGGCAGTGCGACGTGCTGAATATACACAACCCACGCCAATACAAGCGCAAGCAGTGCCTACCGCCTTAGCTGGCCGTGACATTATAGGCATTGCAAAGACGGGTTCAGGTAAAACAGCAGCTTTTGTGTGGCCAATGCTGGTGCATATTATGGATCAGCGTGAGTTGCGTAGTGGTGATGGTCCTATTGGGCTAATATTGGCACCAACACGCGAGTTGTCGCTACAAATCTACAATGAAGCAAAGAAGTTCGGCAAGGTATATAATCTGAATGTGGTGTGCTGCTATGGTGGCGGCTCTAAATGGGAGCAGAGTAAAGCGCTTGAGCAGGGTGCAGAAATAGTAGTTGCCACGCCTGGACGCATGATCGATATGGTTAAAATGAAGGCGACACATTTGCGGAGAGTAACATATTTAGTTTTGGACGAGGCAGATCGCATGTTTCACATGGGTTTCGAGCCACAGGTATGTTTATTGAATTTAAGAATTCAATTATTTATAATTTTTATACTTTTGTTTACTGCAGGTACGCTCGATTTGTAACCATGTGCGACCCGATCGGCAAACTTTACTTTTCTCAGCCACATTCAAGAAACGTATAGAACGCTTAGCACGAGATGTGCTCACCGATCCCGTGCGTATTGTCCAAGGTGATCTGAATGAGGCCAATCAAGACATTACACAATATGTTTACGTTTTCCCCAATCCGCTACAGAAGTGGAACTGGCTACTATGCCATTTGGTAAAGTTTCTTTCGGAAGGTAGCGTTTTAGTGTTTGTAACCAAAAAATCTGATGCCGAGACTGTAGCCAATAATCTCATGGTAAAAGAGTATAATTGTTTACTTTTGCACGGTGACCTAGATCAGGCCGATCGTAATAAAGTTATAACACAATTTAAGAAGAAAGAATGCGACATACTAGTAGCCACCGACGTGGCTGCACGTGGTCTAGATATACCACACATACGCAATGTTATAAATTATGATATCGCACGCGATATCGACACACATACACATCGCATCGGTCGTACCGGACGCGCTGGTGAAAAAGGTACTGCTTACACCTTGGTTACCGACAAGGATAAAGAATTTGCTGGCCATTTGGTGCGTAACTTAGAGGGTGCCGACCAACAAGTGCCTGACGATCTCATGGAATTAGCCATGAAGAGTTCATGGTTCCGAAGCTCACGTTTCAAGCAAGGAAAGGGCAAGAAAATCGCTATTGGCGGTACGGGCTTGGGCTATCGTGAACGCAGCAGCAGCAGTAGTGTTAAATCGAATACCGCCAATGAAACGTCAACTTTTGCTTCCATTAATAAATCAATATCGGCGGCTGGACCGGCTACCGATCGGTATGCGGCAATGCGTGAAGCCTACAAAGCCCAATACATGTCACAATTTCGGGCGTCAAGTGATCGCACGTGGGAAAAGACTGTGCCTGAAACGGGCGTATTCGCGGCACCAGCGCCAGTGCTGCCAACGAGCTCAACATCTAGTGGCAGTTCGGGCGGTGTAGATGAAAGTGGCAAGCCGCGCAAGAAGAAGAGCCGCTGGAATTAGTGTGCGCAAACAATTACTGTCTATGTGAAAATAACATCACGCATAGAATAAACGAAATATTTGCGCATTTTCTAGTTTCAAAAAAAAAAAAAAAAAATATATTATATATAAATGAAAAATTTTATTATAAAACATTTAACATTAGAAAAGGCGCAAGCTTAAATTACTTAACAAAAAAGAACATATAAACATTTTGCACTTTTGCAACTTAATGTATAATCTAAATAATTATATTGAAAATAATTGAAATAAAAACATACCTAAATGTTATTAAGTAACATGAAAGTCGTACTTTTTGTATGTAATAGCATAGTTTTTCTTTTGCACTTATAAATGTAATACTTACCTCTACTTAATGCTAATAAAAAGGATTTTAATTTAATGTTTTTTGTAATTATTTTATTTTCGGAATTACTTTTTCTTTTTCCCTCCACTCTGTATCGGCACGCTTACTCCGCAATAATCAACATTCTGTCACTGCCCACAAACTAGCGCACTTATGCTAAATTTTAATTTAAATATATATATATATATATTGTTTTAAAATATGTACACAAATATTTTTTTTTAATTATTCGTTTTTGTTGTTCTTTATTTTAATATATTTTTTTTCTGTTTTCATCAGTGGCTTAAACTCATTGGGTTATATTTATTTTTTTTAATTATTTTATAACATACATTTTTGTAAATCGGCATTTAGCTCGAAATCTCTGTGCATTTTTATTTAGAATAAAAATCACATTTTGCGCATTTTGGTTAATAATTTTTTTCTCATTCTTATTTTAACTTTTAATTTATATTTTTCTTCTTAATATTTTATTTTTAAATTTGCTTCTACAAACATTCATATACATACATATTTGTTATAATTTTTTCACACATGCTGCAAATGATTTGAAAACTTTTTTTTCCTGTGCCCAGCTGGTCATAAGCATAATTAAAATAAAATTGGTATTTTTTTTGTTTGAATTTTCAAACATTACTTTCTCAGTTTTGCATTGAAACCACTACTAACTTTATATTTAAAACTTGTTTAAGCTTAAATTTATTTTATGTTTTACTCTAAGTTAGGCTTGTTTGAATTTTTTATATTTATATTTATTTTTATTTTTTTATTTTATTATTCATAATAGTAAAAATAATCTTTTAAAAGATAGCAATTAATTAAAATATAAATCATTACTTAGTTATTCATTCATTAAATTTATAATTCAAATTATTATTTTTATTAATTATAAGAAATTGATTTTTTTAAAATATTTTTTTTTTGTAATAAGTTGTATTGGTTTTACGGTTTTTGGTATTAAAGGTATTTAAATTTTTCTAATTTAAGGATACTTTTTTGTTTAAGTATTCGCATTCGCAACTTTCGTTGATATATTTTTAATTCAATGTTATATTTTGCTTATTTTTGTCAATCAAATTTCAATTTTTACTTTCTGTATAATTTAAATTTTTTTATTTATATACATATTTTATATATTTATATACATATTTTTTATAAAACCATTCCCGTATTGTTCTTAGATGGAAAGCCGAGTCTCATTATACATAATTAAGTAATAAAAGAAATGTTTAAAAATTGAATAAAAAAAATTAAAATAGAAAAGGATTTTGGGTTTTCATTAAATTAAATTGTTTTGAATTGGTACTTAACTTCTTGAATATTTTTTCCCTTATATATAAAAAATATACGCATATATTATATGAAAGAGGGTAATTATTATATGGTTTATTTTTCTTTAAAAACACTTACTTTAAATAAAATATTTAAAAAAGAAAATAAAGGATGTTTAAGGCCTTCAAAATCAGTATTAAAAATATTTTCAAAATAGTTAATTTTTTGCAAAATTGGTATTTTCACTTTATAAATTAATATAAGACCCAAGACCAGTAGAGAATTAAATAAAAAAAAAAAAAAATAAAGTATCAAAATGCTGCTAAATTCTTTTTTTTATTTTATTTTTTATAAAAATAATAAAAATCGTGTCAATATTCAACACAATTTTAATACATCTTTTTACCACAAATTTCCAATCTATTTTGAAAGTGGCAAACGTTTTATACGCAGACTAAAATCTCAGCCATTTAATTCTGGTTATTTTCAAAATTGTCATCAAAACATTAAAACGCTGACACCTTTTATTGATTTCTTGTATCTCTCTGAGTCCTCACTATATAGTTTTTATTATTTTTTATTATTTTTTTTTTGTATAAATAACGGTATGTTAATGAAAAGAAAAATCACATTTTGTTGTTGTTTTTAATACTTTTTTATTTTTGTGTACTTTGTATCAATTTCAATTCACTTTTTATATACACATGTAGTATATACTATATACCCGTACACATGTATACATATGTGCATATGTATGTATGTAAGTATATAGTATTTTATATGCCATCATTTTTTCACGCAATATTATTATTTTTATATTATTATCATATTATATTTACAATAATTATGTGCCAATACATATGTATGTACATATATGTATAATAATAAACTATGTATTTAAATACTTTTAGCATATTAGTATTATTTTTAAGAATATAATATATATTATTTATAATATAGTTTAATTTTGTCGCTATAATTTTATGATTTAATAGTATATTTTACCATAATTTATACATATATATATATATATATATATATTATATACATATATATGAGTAGTTAATTTGCTGCTTAATAACTAGGAAAAAAATCTGTAAATTCAATATTCTTTTGCATACTTTTTGTTGTTGTAGGGATTTTATGATTTTTATAATTTTTTTTATTTAATTTTATTTTTATAATTTTTTTTTTCATTTTTTTTCCGCACATGATTGCTTAGAATTTACTGTAAAATTAAAGTAATGTGCACATGTGCGTACATACTCGTACGTATGTATCTATATATTAATTTACGTCTGCGGCTTTTTATGTACGTACGTGTACATACAATTTTTTTCCTCTTGCCTGCGTTAACATATACACATACCTACATATAGACATATGTATGTACATAATTTATATACTTTTAATCTTGTGCTTATATGTTGTGTTACTTATTTTATTTATGTTTTATATTTTTGTAAGAATGTGTGTATAATTTATAAATTTTAAAGCTAGAATTAATTAAAAAATGTGTTTATTAAAATTACGCAACAATTAAACTTTTTCAATATTTTTTTTTTGTTTTTATTTATATTTTTTTATGTCTAACATGTATTATCTCACTGCTCAAGCACACTTTGCACACACACACACACACGCACACGCACTCGCATCCATACATGAAAATTTTAAGTTCGAAGTCATTAAGCTTAAGTGAATATATAAATACATACACACATATAGATATTTATGTATGTGAATATGGGCTGGTTTTCTAATAATATTTGCATATTTTTTTCTAATTTTCCCATTTTTTTTAAATTTAATTATATTTTATTTCACTTTTAATATACATACACGTAAATTATATTATTTTTAATAGTTTCTTTTTTATTTAAATTTATTTTAATACTTTGTACAGTAGAAACATTTAATAAAATGTACGACGCTTTCACGCATTTTCACATTATTATTTTTTTTGTTCAAAATTTTATTCTTCTAATTATTTAAAGAAAAACTTCATTTTGCAAAAAACAGGAGTTTTGGTATAGAAATGTTCATAAAAAAATTCGAATTGGTATATACACACAAATTTTAATTGAAAACTTAATGCAGGTAAAAATGTATGCAACAGTTGTGTTTTCGTGTTTTGGAAAATGAATTCAAAACGGCTCGAAAGGATTTCTCAAAGACGTAGCTCGATTTTTGTAATAAATCTAATATAAATTAACCGTAAAACATGCCATTTTTTGTACATTAAAAATATATACATTTTAGTTTTTATTTATAACGAAAAATTGTTTTTGTATTTCCTTTACAATTTAAAATCACATTTCATTGTTTTTGAAAAATTCTTGTTTTTTTTTACTTTTCTATTTCATGCCTGAATTTTGCTATGTATGCCCTTTAGCGTTTAATTATAATCATTTATTTCTTATTTTTTTCAGCTCTTAAAGCTTTGTCAAGTCAAAATGAGCTTTCATGCGCTAAAAGAATTCGATTTGTGCTTTCATACACTGAAAGCTTACACTACTGCTGCTTTCACAAAATCTCTTCTCAAACAGCACACAGACTATGCACATATATGTAGAATAATTTAGCAAAGATTTTTACATCGCATTTGTGTGTGTGTTTAGTGTAGGTATGTATGTAGTTATGTAAATTCAAAGATCATTGGAGATTTTGGCAAAATGTTGCTTTTCTACCAAAAAAACACGCAAAAGCATTAGAGCTGCACACAAAAATTTGTGAGATTTTATTTGTAAATGTTTTTTTTTTCTGTTTGTTTGTTTAGTTTTAATTTCTGTATTTAAGTTGGTTAAAACATTAATAATACTATGTATATGTATGTACAGATCGTCGAAAGTTAGATTTCATAGAAATATTTCAAAGTGTTTTCATTTCATTGCAATCATTTTTGCAGTTGTCTATGCGACTATTTGTTGTTGGTTTATTGTAAATGTTGTAGACTAAGTGCGTTTTTCACTACAATATTTCTACTTATGCGTAATATTGGATTTTCCACAAAGGAAAAATATTTTAAAAAAATTTTACACATTACAAATGTAGCAATTTTTTTTTCTAAAATCTTAAACTTTGAATTTACATTTAGTTTTTGTTTTATTTTTCGTTTGTTTAATTTTTTCCTGCGAAGAAATAGCAAAAAGCTACGCCAAAAAGTTGTGTAGTGCCTTTTTTTGATATTCTCCGGATGTAGAAATATTACGCCAAGCAGTCCAATTTGTTGGTTTCGCCTTCAACTAACCATTTTTTTTCTTTTGTTTGCCATCCTCTTGTTTGCGGTCCTCGGTTTGTATGTACATACATGTGTACAGGTGTTTATTTTGTTGTTGGCATGCTTCGATTACACATACACTTCAAGAGCATTGCTTGAGGACTCATCATTTGCTTGCTTTATTTTCTGTAGTTTTTGACCATGCAATTGCAACAACTCAGCCAGTAGATTGTCTCAATCGAATAGTGTCGAAAGTATGTCGTCATTGTTGTTGTTATTACTGGAACCACTTGATGGCGGCGTATTTAGATCAGGTTGTGGGTCCAAATACGAGAGAATCTCCATGGGATCAACATCAGGAAGAAGCTGGAATAAAATAAAAAATATTAATTGAAATTAAAAACGGCAATGCTTTGTATGGAAACTCGAATTTTTATAATAACGGGTTATTAATAAGAACATTTCAAAACACTCTTTTCTTGATGATTCTATTGTTAATGTTGTTGTTGTTACTGTAACGGCAGAAGTATCTGCCAAATGAGTTTTTTTGGGAATGTTGTAGGAGTGGCAGTCATTGGGCTGTAAAAAAAATGAGTGGCCGAACTCTCGCGGCAACTCTTAGACTTTAGTGGCCTCTTTTAACATACCTGTCTTGCTGCTAATAAGTTCTTCGGCTTCTAACTCAGCAGGTATAGAATCTATCACTAAATTAGTCCACCATCAAAGAAAATTATCTTTAGTACTTTTTCTTCCCTAACTCTTTGAAATAATCTCACCGGATAACCTACTCTCGAAGCTTTTCTAATTTGTGTATGTTACAGGAAACGTGCTGTCTCAACAAGTTCGAACTGAAGGAAGAGACTTTAAATAAGTGTGTTAGGTACGTTGTGTACTTCGGGACCGAGTATGGACAGAGTGCAGTTGAGGTCGCTTCAGCATCAAGATCTTGATTGCTTCAGGATTACTCAGGTGGCTCGGAGTAGCTAGAGCTCTTCGTCGGGTTGTAATTACTTTTTTCATGGAAATATATTTAACCAGAGTGTGGTTGACTCTCTAGTTATGACTTGTCGGTAATATATCTTGATGAGTGATTGTGTCAAGTATTGCTGTATAGAGTCTTTTAATCTCTAATTCCAGCCCATCTGATCTGATGAGTCTGGGTTAGTTTTAGTAGAGTGTCAACCCTCATTAGCTATTGCCTTCCCACATTTTTCTCTTTAACTGGGAGTCTAAATGCCTACCATGTGGCGGTGCACAGGCGACATCAGAAGCTTTCGCGTTATGGCCAGGTATGCAACATCCTATATGCGTTATACTAATCCCCGGAGTCTAGATCGGCAGCAGCGTAATTTTTGATAGGCAGGCCGATTGCCTCATAAGTTGATAAGAAGTCTCCAATAAACTACTTTACCATATTCTACCCAATATTTAATATTAGTTTACGAAAAGAAAAATTTGTTGCTTACATTCAAATCTCCAGCACCGTCATTGTTGTCCATATTCAGTTCGGCATTCAAATCGGTCTCGTTGAGATTCGACAAACCATTGGGTTGTGAGTTAATTAGCGAGTTAATTATTTGCTCTTGCTGTGATTGCTGGACTGACTGCTGGGAGTGTAATTGCTGTTGATGTTGTGAGTCACTCGTAGTACCTCGATTGGATGCAGGACCACCTGGTTGGCCGGGTGTGCCTGGTGTTTGTGGTGAGGAGTTGGATATATTCGCATTGGGTGTTGAGGGCTCATTATGCGCCGAGCTGACACTTGGTGGACCGCCGGGTGTCATCGGATGCATGGGTGTGTGCGGAGTGTGTGGCATCTGTTGAATGATAAAAAATGGCGAATTCATATTTAAGTTAAATTTGCTGAAATCGAGTAAACCTAAATGCTTTTGATAGTTTTCTTGTACTATACTCACCTGATCTGTAAGGCTTTTCTCCATTGCATTAAGCTGGTCCAGAGAATTGCCAGTATCACTTGCATGCTGATCAGCAACACCAACATCACCACCTCCGTACATATCGAAGGGACTACGTCTGGAAAGAATTGACAAAAGAAATGAGTTTGAGGTTAGTTTTTGTACTCTGTGCTGGTGCTTCGAGTGTACTTACATTTGCCCAGCGCCGGGTACATTAGGTGTGCCTGCATTCATGTCATGTTGCATGTAAGGACTCATCGCCTGCGAGTTGTCCCATGGTGACATAACTTTTGATTGATCGTCGAATGTATTCTCCTGTTTAATAGTCGGTACATTTGGACCACCAAGTTGACCGGCCATTTGGCCTACCATCTGGGCGCCCATTTGTCCGGGCAGTTGGCTGCCCATTTGTCCTGGCATTTGACCACCGACCATCTGGCTCATTTGTCCCTGCATCTGACCGGGCATCTGTGCACCCATTTGTCCAGGCATTTGAGCGCCCATTTGTGCTGGCATCTGTCCACCTATTTGATTTGGTGCTTGACCACCCATTTGTCCCGGCATCTGTGCGCCAGGTACTTGGCCAACCATTTGTCCGGACATTGGGCTGGGCATTTGCGCTGACATCGCCGTGAGCGGTGAACCTTGATGCATACCCTGCGCCGCGCGCCAATTACCACTCGAGTCAATAATGACTTCATCCACATCAGTGGTATTCAGTTTATCCAAAATAGACCAGACGTATTGATCGATCTCTAAACTTTCTGTTAACGCAGGTTTACTGTAATGATAATTCAAATTTCAAGGTTAGTTTTTTGCTAAGAGACATGCGAGTATGTTTTGAATGGTTAGGTACTCACTTGCATTCTGGACACCGCCAAGCGCCACGCTCGCAGTTCATAAGCAGATAGGCCTCCAGATCAAAACACTGGATATGCTTGCATTCATGTCCTCGCGCTGGCATTCGTATTCGAGATTTCATTATCGGACATTTCAATGAGATCTTAGTGCACTTGGTCGCTTCCATGTTGTTAGCGCCGGGCTCTAGTGGACCACTAGTCGTTGAGCAGACCATAAAGTTGCGTTTGATTTTCGCCACACAATGATCTACTGGTAAGCAGTTGCGTTTATGTAGGCTCTGTAGTACGTGCCGTACGGAGGGTCTATGGACTAGCTGCAGCACGAATAAGTGGGACTGTAACAAAGCAGAGAAATTATTAGGTAAATGTTGTCAAGATAGTAAGATAGTAAGGGAGATGTATTTTGATAAGCGAAATCGGATTGTCGGACTTACACAACAGCAGGAACTAGCGGTAAGTTGCAGAGTATTACGTCCGGGTTGACACACCCCCTTAAGATATAGCGGCCGCAATGCTTGCCCCGTCTTTTCGGAACGTTCAATGGTGAGGGGCGTGGCATTGGCCGATACCGTTACTGTATGTGGCCAATTTGTGTTCATTTGTCGGTCGTCTTGGTGGAAGCATTTCAACTGCAGCTCGAGATCGGAGCTAAACGAAAGAAAAAGACGCACAATTAGATTCGATGTGACCAGCTGAAAAGAGTACGATCTCGGAAAAATTTAACTTACCGACACATGAGCGTATTGTAGACATTCTGTTTTAAGTGGAATACGTGATTGCTGACGGAGAGATTATGCAGCAAGCGGAACGGTGGAAGTATGATGCCATCACGTACGGGGAATGTCAATCGCATCTCCTCGCCTTCATGTCCAACGAAACGGTGGGTATGGAAAAGTAAAATGAGAAATGTATACATAAGAAATATGCTCTCAATGTGCTGAACACTTAAGGGATTTTCGCACGACTTACAGTTGTCCATTATTGGTTTGATGTCTGGATTCGGACTGATGTATGGAACGCTGCAGGCAGGTGTTAATGGCGGCGTCGGATTACCAGGAACTGGGCTATGTTGGTAATTTTGCTGGAAACTACACAGGGAAATAAGAATTGAATAAATCTTTATAAACTTGCAAGACTATATCTGGATAGCAGGGTATATGGAAGTTTGAAATATAAGTACACGATGGACTATATGGAAGGGATGGAAGGGAAGATTGAGGATGTCAGAGGGGAAGAAATATTATAGAAATAAAATGCCATTACTTGAACTTACCCTTGATTCTGGTACATTGCTCCGGTATTCGTAAGAGGACCCGGACCAGCCGGACCCATACCGCCACCACCACCACCATTTACACCTGGATAATATTGATTCTGCTGATGTGCCATTGCAGCGCTATAACCACCTGGACCTTGTGGCATACCACGTTGCATTGCACTAACACCACCTGGACCCATACCGCCTGGTCCCATTCCACCAGGACCCATACTGCTAGGGCACATGCCACCGGGACCCATACCACCGGGACCCATGCCGCCAGGACCCATACCACCAGGACCCATGCCACCCGGACCCATGCCGGGACCCATTGCGTTAGCGCGAGCATAACCACTCATGGGACCGCCACGGCCATAAGCAGCAGCTTGCATTGGTACTGGCACACCGCTACCGGCTTGTGGATGCATTTGCTGGCCATAATGTTGCATGCCCATTTGTGGAGGAACATTCTGCATAGACGGATTGCCCATGGAGGTGTAGCTAGCACGCTTTTGCGCCGCATGCATTTGTGCTGAAGGATATGGCGCGGAGCGTCGCGCATAACCACCATTCGCCATACCTTGCATCTTGGCCATAGGACCAAGACCGTTCATTGCCTGTTGCTGCTGTTGGGGTGTCATTTGGGGACCACCACCCATAGTCATACTCTGCATCTGGTTCATAGGGTTCATCTGCAAAGGGATTTTTTAAATGTTAATCATATCATTATAAGAAATAGTTGTATAGAGATTAACTAAATAGTTTGGCTGGCTGATTTCATGTTCACTATTCTGTTTTTTGTACTGAGGCTGAATTATGCTGCCTGGTAGCTTGGGAGAGATATTAAGTTCAGAAGACCAAGGTCGTATGTGACTACAATATGTTCCCTCACAGTCCTCTACATAGTTGATTTGCTCATTTGGCTTCTCCGTAGTAATATTATAATCGTTTAGCTCCCCAGCAGAGGTTTGTGTGTCCATGGCTACATTATTAGGCGCTTCAGTTTGTGTATTAGCGCCTACGTAAGTGGCCATAATCAAAGTTTCCTTTAAAGGCGATTTTAAGAGACCGAAAAAATTTACAAAAATATTTTAAATTTTAATGGAAGTAAAATTTTGGCACATTCAATCAAACTCTGACATTTCAAAATGGAATGATTTTTTCGAATTGTACTTATGTATCTCAGAAACGTATATATGTAGATTATAATAAAAGCATTAACTGATTTTAATAATTTGTCCCTTTATAGATTAATGAATTTACGTATTGTTCATCGAGCTGGGATCATCGTCGATCATGTAAGTAAAAATCTAATTTCTTCTCTAACTTTAGTAGTATTATGTAATTTATTTCAAAATATATAAAATCAGAAGTGGCATATACTCAATATAGAATTTTAAACGTTTTAATAATCAACCAACAAAAGTAAGTAGAAAAATATTTTCAATTTTTATTTGTGTAATTTATGTACGAACTAACTATGAACATACAAAAAATCTGAAGAGGCATATAATCACAGGAATTTAATATAAATGAGAAAAGTAATGAGGTATGAGGGCATTAATAACGAATTTGTTTAGCTTTTAAGTTATTTAGTAGAGTACTGCAAATAGGTTACCAAAATGTGTATGAGAATTTTTTAGAACTCAAAATACTGATCGGATATGCTTGAACATACATTATTTCCAATTATTAGTTTCATTTTTTAATAGAAATATATAGCAGCTGATGTAAGACTTATTTATGAAATAATCAGTTTTATTGTGAGTTCACACAGAGTAGTCATAGAAAGCTGCATCGATGAGGTGTACTGTGAGTGACCATATAACCTTCACTGTCCGCCGAATGTGTCACCGCAAATCATGCTGTTCATCAGTAGCGCTTCAAAGGCGCAGCAAATGCGCATGCGCACACGTTTTTGCAATTTTTTCTTTCTTTTGATTCAAAAACGTTTGCGATTTATTTTCCCTTTTATTAATTGAGCTTATTTGTTATAATGTTTTTTTTTTTTTTGTATTATTTATCTCGCTGCTAGTGATATCTGTACACAATTATAAATGTCTACACACAAATAGTTGTTGTTGGTTTTTGCTTTCTCTAAGTAAACTTTGAGCATGTTTGTATACATAAGTATACAATTGAACATGTAAGTACGAACATTTGTAAGCTTATGAAATGCTATTGCAGCTTTAGCAATGAATGTAATGTTTTTATTTAATTATTTTCGCTTGGTACGTCCAGCATTGGCTTTGCGTGTCACTGCATTCACCAGCCACATAGTTCGTCATGTGGTGTTTAAAACAATTAAATTTGTTATTGAAATTGTAAATGAAATTGCAAAAACAAAAAAACAACACACACAAAAATAAAAATACACTTAATGAAAGTAGAAAAAATAGTCAAAGCGCACAAAGAAAACATAAAAAACGAAATGCCTAAATAAATATATTTGTATGGGAAAAGTTGCAACTGCACACCAATTGCCAATATGGCATGCGATTTGGAAGCAATCAATACAACGCAGTTACAAGCGAAAATACAAACAAAAATATAGCTGTTATAGGCAAAATAACAACAACCATCTGTGTAGGTACATAAACAATTGTAGTCAATAAATGCTTCATTTTTTGCTGCTTATACACAAGTAATTTGCATACAGACGGTACAAAATTGTATACTATATATATGCATATACTAGGTATGTTTGCTTGTGGCTGTGTGTACACGAAGGAATGCTTGTTGAGTAAAAAATCGATGCGACATTTGAAGCGTCTGAAGTTCAACTAACGACAAATGCACTTCGCACTCATCGGACGTTTTTACAAAATGGCAATAGTAGACTATGTAAATATTGGCACAGGAAGGTGAGAAGTGCAGTTGCGTACACACACACGTGGACGTACATATAGTATGGACAAGTTTAGTGGCAACAGGCACAGTGATTTCAAGCAAACTATTGATTGAATAAAAAAAAACAAAAAAATAAAACCACAAAAATTAAATAGCATTATCAAATAAAGATAAAAAAATGTGAAATTGATTTCAGCATACATACAAATTAAACTCCCAGCACATAATTAGTGTTGTGCGATTCCTAAACAATAAAAACTATTACCCACACTTTTCACACAAACCGCAAGACAGACTCTAATGCCTTATGACACAACCATATGCACTTAGGCAAAATATATTAATATTGTATTTACGATTATTATTTGAAATTACTTTATTAGCATTATTTTTCAACTTTTGCATTAACGTGTTATTAATGCAACACAATTGAAAATTTGCCGCGTGTGCTTTATTATTTTTAAAAGCGAGTAAAATAATGACAATATATTTGTATGCACATTTGAATATGTAAAATGTGCAGTACTTTTTAAAAACAAATCTTAATGCATGTAATATTAAGTGCATGTGAACATACAAACACAACACACAAATACATGTTAAGTTGTGTGCGATTTGCCTATGGCAGTTGACACATGCAGCCACTTCAAACTCTCTCAGACAGTTAGCACACACTTGGTGTGTCAATAATATTAATGTTAAATATAACAAATATAATGTCAGCAATTATTTTACTAATTATACTACAAATAGCTGCACAAAAATCCAAAAATGTACAAAACAAATATCGACAACTAAAAAGCTCAGTTTGCAATGCCTTAAGCTTTGTTTAGAATCGATTTGCATTGAAACCAAATACGCGGCTATACTATGTAGATAGTATGTATGTATGTACAAATGTATGTATTTAAAACTTTATTGTTCGTGATATAAAGATGTTTGATCAGTTTAAAATGGTAATTATGCAAAACTTATGCAAGTGATTTTGAATAATAATCGCGTATGCTCGTATATATGGTGACTATAATCATATACGAGTATATATATTTTCTGCAACTATCTATAATAATAGTTAATGATTCGAACTATTTGATTTTAATTTTTTTTAATTTTTACTTTTGAATTATGACTTCACTGGCGTTGCCTTGCGGGCTTGAAATGCAATATTGGCAGTGTAATTTTCATTAATTGTGTCATTGATAGTTTTAATTATGAGTCGAGGTGTCGAAGCTTTCAATGATGAGTTGATTTAGGATTCCAAAAGTAAAGTAGTTTGCTTGAAAATTGTTTTAAGTGAGATCAGTTGTTTAAATAGAGTATTTAAAAATAGACTTTTATAAAGTTTGAATAAAAGTAAGTTTTTTTTTTATTGCAAAAAATGACAAAATTTTCATTTGCAAATTTCTCTAAAAGATGCAACCCAAGGTGAAAGCCTTTCGGATGCTGCTGTGTTTTTTTTGCCCAGTTTAATCCAATTTTTTAACACTTTAATCGACCTTAGCACTTTTCACTACATACATACATTTCAGGCGCATTCTATTTCACTCTGCCATCATATTTGATTGACTTCCCTCACAGTCTATACAAGAGTGACCTTAAATTTTGCTGCACACATACATATATTTCACTGCAGCTAGTCAGTTAGCAGGTCAGGACAGCTTTGATGCGCACTCAAGGATACAAAAATAATAATACAAATCGTATAAAAAAGCGCCACTTAAATTAAAATGGAAGCACCTAACATAGAAAAAAAAATACACTAAATCAATTTACTGCAAGTCACATGCTGAGCACATTTAATGTCCCTCATGTCCGGCGCCTATATTTGCTTTCAACCCGCCTCAAACTCTTTTGTCCTTGAAACTTGTAAGGGTCAAATGAAGACTTTTTGCTTGTTTATTTTGAAAAAATAATTTTACTTACTTGATGCCTTGATGGCGCTAGATTGGGATTGCCATTGGGACCAACGCCGCCAACAACACCGCCACTGACCCCGCTGCCGCCACCACCACCATTGTATGCATTCATATGGCCCATTTGCATGTTGGGACCGGTATTCATGTTAACATTTGGATTACCACCAGCCACTTGGGAGGCATTGCCACCAGCGCCATTCATATTGGTCGCACTTGGATTGCCGCTACCGTTAGCACCGATGTTGCCATTCATATAGAGATTTTGCACATTACCACCGTGCATTTGATTGGCGCTCATCTGAAATAAAAGGAAGCGAGAAGAGTGGAAGGTAGAATAGAGTGTTGAATATGTATAGAGCAATGCATAGTAATTACATTTGTATATTGCTTGCTTCAGAAAAGGTTGGATATTCTATTCTATTAATTTGATTTGGAGATATAAAATTTGGTCTAAAGATTTGGTCTTCTGTAACCATTATCTTGTTTGTGATTCTTAAAAATACCAATAACCATAGCTGTTGTAATGCCAATAATTTTGATCCTAAGAAATCAAATGAAAATAAGTTTGGTTAAATTTTGAAGCAAGCTTTTAAGAATTCTAAATTTTTTTTTAGCATCAAAATGTATACTTGTATTAATTGAAATAAAAATAACAAGAGTGACATACTTCTAGGCGTCTTGTTTACTGAAAAGTGTTTCTGTTATTTCTAACTAAATCAAATCCTACACAAAAGCATGCAACAATAGCAAATATGTACGTGGCAAAAACATTACTCATCAACCTAATTTGGATTGAACACGTGCGCCTAAAAGCATGCAATCTTGTTTTTGTGTCCTTTTGATTTAGAACTCTACTACGTCATTCAAGCCAGGAGCTGTTGTTATTTACCAATTTTTCGCTTTTTGTTTGTATATTATTTTCAATTTCTATTTCATTGCTTTTATGCCTCCAAACATCACCTTACCTGCCCATAACCGCCAGCCATGCCACTCATATTGTCCATCTGTTGCTGTTGTTGCTGTTGCAGACCACCACCATTAGCCGTTACCATATTACTATAGTTGCTGGCGTAGCCGCTTGTTGTAAATTCGGAATTCGGACCAAATGTATTCTTTAGTGTGCGCAACGTATCGGGCTCACCCATGGAGTATGTGCCAACTGGTGGTGTGATGCCATTCTGTGCTGCTGTTGGATTATATATGCTGGGATAGTTGCCGTATGTGTTGTTATTTTGTTGTTGCTGCTGCTGCTGTTGTTGTTGAATTTGTTGTTGTTGTTGTTGGTGCTGCTGCTGTTGTTGCTGATGCTGCTGCTGTTGTTGTTGCTGCTGCTGCTGCTGCTGTTGCTGTTGCGTTTGTACGTCGGGTAGTTGTGGTGATATTTGGCTCCCGGAGGCTGGCGCCCGCGAGGAGCCGTTGCCGGCGTTCATTTCATCATTTTTTCTGCAAAATGAGGGAAATAGAAGGCAAATGTTAATTTTTTGCTTTTATTTTTAGTTTTTTTTTTTTAGAAAACTTATACTAGATAAATATTTTTGAAAAAAAAAATATTAGAAAAAATTATTTAATTATTTCATCAGCATCCACGCAGCTTTTCAAAAACTTCTGATATTTTTTTATACATTTCTTTGTTGTGGAAAAAATTTTGTTTTGGATATTTTAAGCGTCAATGCGCATTTGTATGACTTCCGTCATTTCCGCTCATCAGTGCTTTTTTGAATTTTTAACTTTTTTATAATAAAAGATCGCTTACAAAGTGGACATTCTTTAGTAGCCTATTTTGAGTACATGCAAATTTAAACAACCGTCAACTGGCCCAACACACACAACACAAAATCCATTGACAGGAAGTGCAAGTATTTGAGATGCTAAATAGCTATAAAATTTGACGCAGCCCAGTAGGAAATTCATAAGCATGTTAATTTGCAATAGTTTAGAAAACATTTTGCAAAACCATTGAATTCCAAAAAATTTTTTTTCTAAAATAACTTTCCTTGTAAATTAGTATTGAGGCATAAATAAATTTTTTGGTGCTCATTCAGAAAATTCGGTCAAACTAACGTCAGCGAATATGTGTTTGTTTTAAATCAGATAAATAATTTTTGCGAAATGAATCTTATACAATTTTGCAGGTTAGATACAGAAAAAAAAATATATATAAAAATCGATATAAGTAAAGTATTAGGCATACATGAAGAACACTTTGCGTAAAATAAATAAAATTTTGAATAGCTGAGCGAAAAAAGTATTGTCATAATTTTTTTGGCGAACATTGAAGGTACCGTAATTTTGATCAACTTTGAATAGTATTAATACGTTCAATGAATAGTTTTAATGAAAAAAATTTAATATTCAAATATCTTTTTTTCTATATTTTCACAAAAAAACTATGCCTAAACTCATCTATAAGCAGCAAAATTAGCAGCCAACAACAAAGATGTGGTGTAGCGGCTAACTTAAAGCTGCGTACACACGCGTGCGCCTACCAAACCACATTCTTTATCACCTGTCCTTCGCTTTATGTCCGATCATATATATATATATATATATATATATAAGAGTGCGCACAAGTCTGTTTAGTCCTAGAACTGTTGTGTATTCATAATGTTACATATTTATATGTATATATTATATTTAAAAAAATATATACACAACTTATGCGTTTTCCTTTTTCTTTTATTTTCGAGCGTCAAGCTGCAACAACCTTTTTGTTACATATTTTGTTGTTGTCGCCTTGCTGTTGTTTGTCTTAAACGAACATATGTAGGTATGTACATGTATATACGACTATAGATGTATATTTTTATCTCAAGGATGAGTTAACGCATGGAAATGTTTTTCAAGCCGAAAGGTGAAAAAAAAAATTGAACGATGGTAGCAAAGAAGCCGGCAGCATGGGGAGGGAGGCAACCGAAAAATTAAGTGCAGGTATACAGAAAGGCAGAAGAGTAATAATAATAAGTAAATAAAACAAAGGGTAAATATGTAGATATCTGCGTGTATAGATATGTATGCACTTATGTATGTATGTATGCTTTTACATATGACGATACATAAATGGCGCGTGTAGCTGTTGACAATGCAAACAACAAGTGAAGAAGCAATGGCAACAAAGAAGACAACAGCGTCTTACATACTCGTGCGATACATGCATATACATATTTGCGTACATACACATTGTACTTATGTGTGCGTATATATTGCAATAAATTCCGTTTATATGTATGAAGCTTGAGTTTTGCGACTAAATCATTGCCCGAAATTGTTGTTAATTTTTGACTCGCTGTCGTTTACACATATGCATATTTACATATATTGTATATGTATGTACCCGTGCACACTCATGCTGGACATACTTGTATTTACTTATTTATGACAAATATGTACATAAATATTTAAGCATACAAGTGACTGGCTGCGCAAAGGTGCACACACAGGAAGTGCACAGCGCTCCTTTTATGGTTTTTTTTTTTGCAATTCATTTTTTGGTTTAGTGTTTTTAAAAAACATGTGGATCAGCGCCAGCGCACCTTAAGCAGCAGTTGCTTCATGCGGATGAAGAACAAAGAAAAAAAGAAATTAAAAAAATAGCAGCTGCAGAGATGAGCTGAGTCTGGTGGATTACAGGAAAAGGTGTTTTTTCAGGGCATTTTTACTTACTGCTGCTTATTGTGTGAATGTGCAATTATAGTATATATCTTTTTATGCTTTTTTTGTGGTAAGCATGTATTTTTATTTGATATTTATTTAGTTTCGTTCTTTAATAAAAATGAGAACGTGTACAGTTGTGTGAAGTGCAGTGTAATGTTTGCCTAATGGAATAATAAGTTTTTCTTAAAATTATTAAAAAAAAATGAACTACTGTGTAACCAGTTCCAAATGGACCAGTTGTAAATTACTCTATAAACGCTTTAACAGCTAACTTTTAACATTTTAAATCAAAGTGCTGCATGATTTACTAATTTTCAACTCATCAGCAACTAGTGTAAAACGGATCAGTCGATATCTCTTAAATTTTATTATGTAATTTTTGTTATGCAGTATTTTTTGTTTACATAAAACTAGCTAAGCAAATTTAATGTATGCCGTTTTCTTCTATTTTAATACATATTTATAGAAAAATTCCAGCAAGCCCACGCAGTAAACATACATTCAACACATCAAAAGGTCCTTTTTGCCACGAGCAACTATTTTTTCTTTCATTTATTTGCTTTTTATCCACCCACAGCCTTTATTTTCATTTAATTTTTTTCTCTTTTTGGTTCTCTCATTAAATAAACCTCATGGCTGTCAATTGAGTTGCTACAATAAATGTCAAATATATGTACATACATATGTACAAATATATCGTACCCAAGCGGCGAGCACTATTATTTTTGCATGTATGAGTATGTATGTGAAATAGTGAGAAGGCCAACAGTATCCATCAGTGTATGGGGGTGTGTGTGCGGCTATTTAAGGAAGCGCAGGAGTGACGTGCGAAAACGTTTGGTAGCAGAAAAATCCTTACGCTTTGGGGTTTAAATTTCCATTTTTATTTAATTTGCAATTTTTTCCTTCTTCTGCTTCTTCTACTTCATTTTCTTGTTGCACGCGTCAAGGCAGCGTAGGCGCCAGCGCACACATAACTTGGTGGACAGTTAAATAGTCAGTCAGTAGGTTCGTTAGCGGGTTGATGAGAAAGCCTGTGAGTTGTGGTGTGAGTGAGGGCAGTTAGTTCGTTAGTCAGGCTGTGTGACAAAGGTTTGTTGGTGCGAGACCACCGACCGACTACCTTGACATAATTTGTGTCTTTTGTATACTTTTCGTAGAAGTATAAGTTTGTATGTGCATATATATACTTGTAGGTATGTATATACATATATCTTAACTAGTGCGCCTTCCAGCGGGAAGAGTGGGCGGCAAATGTTGTTGTTTAAAAATGGCTCAGTGCCACATTAAAGTGTGGCAGCAAGCACACAGTACACGTACATATATACATATACATATGTAACTGTATGTGTTACTATACACATGCATGCCTGCTCTTTGTAAACATATTTATACATTAGACACTGTGGGCGCACATTCGTCCTGCCATAAAGGTCATAAGGACACCGACAGTGTGCTGTGTTGCTGACATTGCTGTTGGCATTGTTTTTGTATTTTATTGATTTCAATTGTATGTTTGTAAGTATAAAAACATGCGCTGCTGGCTTATAAGTCTGCTTGGAGACATCAATATATACTCGCTCATACAAACGTTTGCTTGGTTCAAGACAAAGTTTTGTGACAAGTTAACCATGTCAACACCAATAAATAAATATTTTTAAAAGTAAATTTTTAATAATAATTTTTTTGTATATTACAAGAATAATAATATTCAATGTGGAGTTCGTACGATATTCGATTTTATAAAAGAATACAGATTTGTTGTAATAAAAAATTTGGTTATAATTACGAAGATATTTAATGCCTAGTTATATGATCATAAGAAGTAAAAGTATTTATGTGAGTAACGCGTACATTAAAATTATTCAATTAAAAAAATGTAGTCCAATAGCGCTGAGTGGAAGGACGGACGGCTTATAGATATTTCCATTCATTATTCACCATTATCAGCCATAATTTCATACAAACAAATATTATATATAAAAATTCAAATAAAAATGTAGAGAGCCATACATAGTCGCCAAACAGCTAATGATAACCGATAAACATACATAAATATATACCTATATATATAGTATATAGATTCACAATACTTGTGAGCACAGTGGGGTGGTGCAGAAGAGTGGGTGGGAGAATAGACAATGACTGAACATACATATGTATATTAACATTTGCAAAAAAGTCAGCACGTATGTTTATATTATTGTTGTAAATATGTACAATAGTTAGAATATGAACAAATGTATTTGCTGTTCTAATATATACATAGGGATATATATGTACATAAAGTCATATAAATACATATAAACTAAGATGGTGGTTAGACATTTGTTGACATCAGTATTTGCTGGTAGCTTTGTATGGAATAACAGTGTTTGCTGGAAAAGCACTCTTGGTGACCAACGGTCTCTTGCATAGAAGTTTCTGTGTAGCACATAAACATATCCATACATATTTATGCCGATATGCAGATAAACAAAAAAAATAAAATAATATAAAATAAAATATAGTAAAATAAAATAAAATAAAATAAAATAATATAAAATAAAATAAAATAAAATAAAATAAAATAAAATAAAATAAAATAAAATAAAATAAAATAAAATAAGAAGAATAAATAAATAAAATGTCGATATAGCTATAAATATATCCATTAAAATAAATTAAATTAAAACAACATATTAAAATTGAGATGATGAAAGATATCATCTCAGATTAAATAAATATTTGAAAAGCGTTTTAATCTAATTTTCCGCATTAGGGATAATTTATGACTTTCAATCATTAAAGAT